CAGACTGAACCTCGGTTTCCTTCCTCAGTCTTCCATGACAATAGGTTACATCAAATCCTGAGGCTCCAATTGGGGGTGAAAACCGCCCATCATGTGTTAGCTAAGGTGGATATACTGTTGTTAAATATCTAAAACGAAGAATAGAGGTAAGACTGGGGTATGTACCACTAGGGAAAATAGGGAAACCATTTGTTTTAGCAAGCCACCTGTTAAAATAATAAAAATTTAACAAAATTTTTGTCTTACTGCATAGCGACTGGGGCAAATGTCCATTGGGTATTAAACTTGAGATAAACTTGGTAATATTATTAGTGTTCTCAGTTAAAATCAAATCTTAGAAATCAGATGTTTTCTTTCAAATCGCTGTTATTATTATGGATTGAAATTTAATATTAAGTTATAAAACTTTATATAAATTATGGAGTTTCTGAAGGTGCTTGTTTTTCTGTGGGTCATTTGAGTGATACCAGGAGACTATTTCTTGTCCCTAAATTTCTTTCTCACTTGTCTTCCTGGTGCTAAAGTTTTACCTTTTGGATTAATATCATGGTGAACAGCTAAAGGGACCTCAGTGATAGACAATAGTTTATCAGCCTGAATTACTTATTGGTGCTCCAGCAAAGAGGAGAAACCTAATGGAATGGGTCATAGAATGGGCAAGTTTTGATGTGAGCAGGAAGAAAGAGTACCAGCAAAGGGAATGCTGCATCATGGTGAGGACAAAGCAGAAGTAAAAAAAAAAAAAAAAAAATTAAAAATGAGAGTATTCACAGAATGTGGAAGCTATTGAATAATAATATTGACTATCCCACAATTTGTCTACTTTTTGCTCTGATAGCTAATAATATATAATGGCTGTGTTTTTTTTTCTTTTTAATAACAACAGTTATTACATTTACATAGTGCTTTACAGGTTATCAAGCACAGCTATAGTCATGACCTCATTTTAGTGATGCTGTCAGTCAGGACAGGTGCTAGTAGCTCCATTTTTAGAGACAATGAAATTGAGACACGGGGTTATTAAGTGATTTGTCCAAGCCAAGATGGGATCGCGCATCCTTTGGTTCTAAACTCAGTTCTCTTTGTTCTCTGCCAGATTGGGTAGAAACAAGAACTTATTTTTCGGAGTCAGATGAGCCAGGCTTGCCACTTTTTCTTTTCTTTTTTTTTTTTTTTAATTTTTTTTTCAACGTTTATTTATTTTTGGGACAGAGAGAGACAGAGCATGAACAGGGGAGGGTCAGAGAGAGGGAGACACAGAATCGGAAACAGGCTCCAGGGTCTGAGCCATGAGCCCAGAGCCCGACGCGGGGCTCGAACTCACGGACCGCGAGATCGTGACCTGGCTGAAGTCGGACGCTTAACCGACTGCGCCACCCAGGCGCCCCGCCACTTTTTCTTTTTTTGGCAGCTGTGGGACATTGGCCACATTGCTAACTGTTCTGAATCTCAGTTTCTTTAGCTATGAAAAATAAGGCATAATAATACCTACATTATAGGATTGTTGTGAAGATTCCATTAGGTGAAGCAAACAAATCGAACAGCTTAATGCCTGGCACGTGGTAGGTACTCAATACAGGGAGCTGTAAACACCTGGAAAAGATACCTGCTGTCCCTATTTCATAAACTTTTCCAACATTTAGAGGTGAAATGACAAATCAAGGCAGCTTTCCAGTTTATTCAATGATACTGTGTCTTCTTGGTTTACTTTAATTCCTGAAATTATCTCCTGTGAAAATGTGTGTACTGTTTGTGTGAATGCACCCATGCATGTCTTGGGGTACGCCTGTACACACGTGGCCATCAGTACCTGTGTGCATGTGTTGGGGTTACAGCAGCAGTTCTCTATGTTTCTGGGCTGTGTGCAACCAGACAGAGTGACCAAATGTGTAGTGTCTCTGCTGCAGATAACTGGAAGCTGAATCATAAGCAGGTAAGTCCTAGTTGAGTCACTGAACTTCAGAAGAACAGGCTTTGTTCTCTCAAAATATCTAAATGATACATGGAGTTCCTAGTGTGAGTATCTGAAAGGTGTGGGTCTCTCCCTTTGGCAGACAAAACTATGGACTCACAAAGTGCATTGATTTTTGAGTAGACTTTATTGATAATTATTCCTTCTTTCTTGAAATCTTTTAGAATTACCTTGATTAAAATCATTACACAAAATAATCTTCACTGTATTTATTATATATGGCACAGAATAATTTAACACTTTATGAACATGTTTCATAGATGCGCAAATGGGAAAAGCACCCTTTGCCAAAAGCAGTACAGTAACTTAGTTCAATTTGGCTACGGTAGCACTTTAAAAAATGACCATGAGGTGCCGCTGTGGCCAAGTAGATTAAGTATGTCTAAACTGAGTGTTTCCCCTAATTAGGTATGGCATTTAATTCCTTTCTTTAAATATAGAAGAATCTACCATTCAACTTAAAGTAGAGTAAGGTTGGTCACTGTATTTTAATAGTATTGACTAGGAGTGAGTCCTTTAATCACAGATCCATAAATCATTCAAGCACCGTGTTTCACTGGGGCCGGGGGTGTATTTTTGAAATCCTTAGTAGTCAGAAAGTCCCTAGACTAAACAAGGGGCCCAAAGGTACCATTTTATTCAAGATCACTCAACTGTATATAAGGACTATTGTTTTCACCACCCTTACAGAATTGTGTTAAAGTCTATCCATAAAATCAGGTGAATTTCCAGTTTATTTAAAGAGCTGATACTTCTGTTACATTTTAATCTGCCTTTGACCGCAATGGAAGGTCATAGAAACATTAGAACATGAATTCACATTTTAATGGACAGGATACAAACATGCACACATGTGTATATATTGAAGGTTTTCATTAATGACTTCTTGCTTTTTCTCCATATAAATATATAAATATCGAATAAAGTGCATGAGAACATGTCTGTACATGTACGCAGATACATGGTTGTCTATATACACTTGAATAGATACTTATGGAAAGAAAACACATACACATTTGTAATATATATGTAGTCAAAAGATATCTGTCAGGCAGTATTTATGTTCATTCTGATCAAGATTGAGTGTATGGGGATAGAATCTGGAATTTTTTCTCTAATATTTAATGAGATGTGCAGAGTTACAAACTAAGGCAAAATACAGTAGAGAAGAGATTTTTTAACATTTGTAGTTTTATCAGTTAGTATGGTGTAATCATTAAAGTAGTTCAGTTCAAATGCAGCCTTGATACAAGTGGCTTACTATAAATTCTAGCTTTGAAATACATATCTTTCAATGTATCTACAAGGACATAATTGGATAGTCTTAATACATTTCCAAATTACACAGTGGCATCTCCCACATTCTTTAGTTTTCAAATCCATAATATTTTTCAAATGGCTTAGTGCAAAACACTATTTTTCATTCAATAGAAATGCTTCAGTATTGTAATCTCATACCTAACTTCTATTTTAGTAAGGATATGTAATTGAACCTCGAGTGACGTCAAGGTGAATTAACTGCTGTTAGTCTTTCTCTCTTTAGCAAACTTTTTTACATAGCATTATATTATTGCTTTTTTTTTTTTTTTTTTTTATGGAGTCCAGTGTTAGTAAGTAATAAAGAAGTTAGTTTTTATGGAAATGAACCAAAATTTTGCTCCAAACTTTGGTAGTCATAGGTTGGGCCCAGGTTGAGGTGTATATTTCTAAACTAATTACAAATTTTGACCTCATGTAATATTTCCCCTCTCAGTCATTTGGTTGATATTCATCGACAACCAATCAGGAAACTTACTGAGAAAATTACCCTCAGGGTCAAAACAAGCCTTTTTCTGAACTATGTAGAAGGAAATAGTTTGAACCAATTCTCAAAATGTCTGTTAATTAATATTTTTGACAAGGACTCTTCCAATTAGGTCATTTGCTTTAAAAGCAGGGATCTTGTTTTAATTATTTTTATATCCTCAGTACCCAGGAAATTTCTTCACAGATAATGTACACTCAGTAGATGATCGTGAGACCAAAGCTGAACAATTTTGGCAAATAATAGAGATTAATTGATCAGAAAGCATCAATTTACCTGATGGGTGCCAATGGGAAAGTCACCTGCATTTATTTTACAGAGATCTCCTAAGACTGTACTGCTGGCAGTAGCCAAAAACCTGAGTTTATTCCTCAATCTTGACACAGTTACATCAATACTGCTTACTGCTCAACGGAGCGCATGCGCGGTGCAGTCATTAAACAGCGAGTTACCAAACACCACTATGGTGTCGTTTAGGAGAAGCAATTTCTAGAAATGTATTTGGTAATGTTAAGTTATCCTTTTGATAGTTTACCTATGAGAAGAAACACTAAACAAGACCACATTGGAAATTCAGAATAAAGCACAAATAGTAGAAGAGAAAGCAGCAGTAGTTATTAAATAACATTTTAAAACTTTTTCACTTCTTTGAAGAATTAAGTTGAAATGCAGCAAATGTCAGCAACTTTGTGAATATTTCAAAACGACATCTGTGAAAAAGCAGGAATGAAAAAGTTGTCAAGTATTTCATTTAATTATCTTAACAATACAGATTTCATAACACTGTCGTTAGTGTCTTTTTTGTTGTTGTTCAAAATATGTAGCATAAGTTTTAAAGAGGATTTTTCTTTAAGAGGTCATTATATTATATTCACCCAACTTCTCACTATTTGTAGCTATTGTTATTTACAGCAATAGGTAACCAACTCATGCCATCAACTAACGTAGGAGCAAGGTTTCCACTTGGAATAGAAGTTAATTTAGACTTATTTATGGCCTCATAATTTTACAATAAAAGCTAATTATTTTAAAGATGTCTATCATTTACAATGTTAAAAATAAGTATCGTAAAGCTCACAGCTGAAATGCTGTCAGAACATTTTTGAAGTGCACATTTTGTGTCTTTTAGCCCTGCCTTTTTTTTTTTTCATTGACAGAATAAAATGAGGCATATAAATATTATTGTTGGTTCTACTAGATCGGCCTAATTTTTTTTCCAGTCTCCCCTTTGTCTTTTTTTCCCCCAGATAGGTAAAAATTTGCCCAGTGTGCCCTCCATGGTTGCTATGGCAACCAGTCTATCACACACAGCTAACCTTTTCATTCACTGTGTTAATATTGTCTGTAGGAGCATCTTCTGAATATTGTTTTCCTAGAGCAACCATACTGTAGTCGTTATCTGTGGTCTTGGCATCTTTCTTTGAATTCTTTTTTTGTCCCATTTGGAGTTGACTAGATTTGTAGGCCAAGGCCGGTATAGTGTTCACTAAAATTAACTGCAATGGTTTTTTATTTTCCTTGTACTGACACTGAATATACCGTGAAAAGGCCGACCTGTAGGTCTTGTTGAACAGTGTATACACAAGTGGGTTGACCGCTGAGGAGAGGTAACCGATCCAAACAAACACATTGAGCAGGGCTCCGATGATATCCTCGTTGCAAGACTCTTTGCAGATGACGGCCATTATGTTCGTGATGAAGAATGGGCACCACATCACCACAAACAGAAAGAAGACAATGCCCAGCACCTTGCAGGCCTTTTGCTCATTGCTGATGGACTGCATAGTCCTTCTGCCATAGGACCCTGGTTCCCTGTGGATTGACCGCTGGAAGAGTTTTTCTGAAGACAGGGAACTCTGAGGGAGGAAGCTGAAAGAAGCTAGTTTGGCCCGTGTGCCAAGATCACTCACACACAAAGTAGCTTCTTTCTGGAGTGACTTGATAGTTAGAAAGTAGGTGATCACCATGATGGTTAAGGGAATGAAGAATGACACAAAAGAGCCGATCAGGACGAAATTATCGTCAGCAAGTAAGCAGCTCCCTTTCTTAAAGACCTTGGAATCATCCTGTAGTCCAAAGACTGGTATTGGCATAGATATCCCTGGAGTTGGACAGAAAACGAAACATGATTATGAAGGAATCATCTGTGAGTATCGCTACATCATGGTGGCTGTGCAAAGGATTCTGTATTAACATTGTTTAAAATCTCAACATATACCTTCAATGAGAATTTAAAAGTCTCCTGTCTTTACAGGTATTATGTGGTTATTATATAAAATTTAACATATGGTTATAATATATGGTTATATGTAGTGAAATTATATGTAGTGATAATATTATACTAATGTATATAATATATATTTACTATATATAATGCATGGTTTCTTAAACTTGTATGTTGTTTGCCCTACAGAGATAGTCCTTTACTTCTAAAGAAGTACAATACATCTAGCTTTAATTTTTCATGTTTTTTCTGATTATAACATAATTCTTGTTAATTGGAGAAAATACAGAGTCAAACAAAAATAAAAATGACCAATGATGCTATCACACAGAGATAATCACTATTAACATTATGATGCTATTTATTTTAGATAAACACACACACACACACACACACACACACACACACACACCATTCACACCCATTTTATAACTGAATTTCACATTCAGTTCTGTAACTATTTTTCCCCTAACATTATGAATATAGTTTATAAAAAGAACTTTATGAAATTGTAAACATATTTTCTTTTCAGAACACTTGAAAAATAGAAAAAAGTAACAATAAAGAATAATAATATATATTCTTGCCAGCCAGGGAAAATTCTGATATACATTTTATGTAGTTTTTCTTCCATTTATATGCATGTGTAAATAATTATGTATATGCAGTATTTTATGTGCAGTTTTAGATCTTCCTATTTCATTTAACATTCAATCATGCAAATTGCACATATTTTAAAGTATTTTTGAAAAATATAATTTCCTAATGTGAATTAAAGTAAGTCACCAATTATATTTTATATTTTATTTTTTTTAAATCTAGCTAATTTTGATTCTTTTTTAAAAAAGCTTTTTACTATCAAAAAGTTCTCACACATACAGAAAAAGTACCACCGAAAAACCAAAACAAACCTGGCACAATGAACCCATTACCCAGCTCCAGCAATAATTAATTCAAGGGCAATCTTGTTTCACCCATACTCCCACCTGCTGCAACTCCTCCCATGTTATTTTGAAACAAATCCCAGACAGCATATCATCCAATCTGTAAATATTTTCATATATACATATAAAAGCTATGCATTCTTTTATATTTTAAAGTTTATTTATTTTGAAAAAGAGGGGGAGAGAGACGATCCCAAGCAGGCTCCATGCTGTCAGCATAGAGCCTGAAACAGGGCTCAAACTCACAAACTGTGAGATCATGACCTGAGCTGAAACCAAGTCATACGCTTAACCGACTGAGTCATCCTGGCGCCCCAAAAGCTATGCGTTCTTTAAAAAAACCCAAATATTACAGTATCATTCCCACTCCTAAATAGAAATTTAATATTTCCTTAATATTTTTAAATATGGAATCAGCGTTCAAATTTCCAATTGGTCCATAAAAATCATTATATGTTTTTAGTAGTAGAACATTCATAAGGGTGGAATACAAAATCATAAGCAGCCACAAACTTTTCTTTTATTGATAAATACGGGAGTTAGGTATGAGATGAGAGAATACATGGGAACACTAGCCCATGGTCAACTGTTCCATCATTGAAATTTAGAGAACCCATGCAGCTCCCTTAGGCACAGGGGTTAGGCAGAAGAGAGAACAAAGTGAGTTAAAGGAACACTTGGCCTCTAATGGTGCTAATTTCTCCCCCATGATGCAGGGCCTTATTTAAGGGAGATTGAGCTGGCCACTACCACCACTGTGCAGTTTTGGGGGACTGGGAATGTCTTCCTCTACTGGCCTGGGACAGACCAAGACAATCATGTGATTGCCATAAAGGAAGAGTCAGGGAGAGAGGAAGGAGAGAAAACATGAATCAAATAACTACTTTGTATAACTTAGTTTAAGGTGGCTTCTTTCATGAAAGGGTTGATGCTGCAGGGGCACCCTGGGAGAACATCAGAACAAAGTTTCTTCCTACCCTCTCCCTCAGAGCTGTGTAACAGGGAGCATCTTGCTCACTGCTTCTGACCATCAGTTAGAGCCTAATAAATGGTCACAGTCCAGCCAAGAACACAGGTTCATTTCAGATTTGGGAGCTGCTGCTTGTTGGACTCTTCTATCCATCTGGGAAAACTTCCTTTGAGGCTCTGTAATCTAGTTTGTGCATACTCAGAACACAGTTCAGCTCCATTCAACCACGCACCTGACTCTCCTAACCTCACATTGGCCATCTTTGCAAGGAGGGGACATTAGCTTGAGTTAATGTTTAATGCAAGTCTTTCTCAGTGGCATTTGCCATTATCTTCACAAACTTAATCGACAAGTATTTGTCACTTGTCCATGCCGGGCCATCCCAGTATTCTTGGAAGGTGGAAATAAATGACATCAGAGCTTGGTCTTAAGGACACTGAGTGTGGTTAAATGACTCTTCATTTCCTTTATTCCTCTCTGTCCCTGGCCTGTTGTTGGGAACATTCTATGGCCTGGGGACATCCTCTGAGACTGTATACATACCAGTTTTGTTTAGCCTTCAGAAAACTCTGGATCACAAAAATTAAGAGATGGTTTCTAAGAAGAATGTTTTGTTTTCCAGGTGGTTGAGTATGTACCTGTGACAGGTGTTTCCTGTACTCATCTAGAAGGTCTTTGTTCGACAGTGTAGTTGCTCATTGGTTAGAATGGAGGCTTTGGAGTGAGACAGGCCCTGGATTTGAGTCTGTGTCCTGGCTCTGTGCTCCTGAGCTGGTTACTTCATTTTCATAGTTCCTCATCTATCACCAATGTGCCTCCGTGGATGTGGGGAGGATAAAATGAATCCAGTGTGCAAACACGTAGGACAGTCCTTAGTCCAGAGTGGATGTTCTGCCAATGGTAGATCCACATGGGAGTAGCCTGCTCCAAAGAATCACTCAACTTGAATACATTAACTTGATTTTGTTCTATTTTGTCTTAAACCAAAAGAAGTTAAAAAAATTTGGCTACTGGCTATATTGTTAATAATGATGTAATTATTAGCTTCTGCCAGGGTAGACAAAAGGTCTCAATCAATTTTAATTTTCTACAGCTAGAGCGGTTGATTGCTTTTCTGTTGTGATGAATTACAGCCATTACTATTAGTCATGATACACATAAACAAAATACCAACTGTGTAAAAAGGTATATGGTTTTGTTATTAAACTCTTGGGTGTGCATTTTCCTAATGCAAAGGAAGTTGCTACTGTGAGTCTTTTGCCCTATTTTGTTTGCAGCCTGGTTGGTGGTTTATATAAGTGGCAATTCTCAATTAACCAGAATAAAGTACTACTTAAAACACAAAACTCTTCAGTCATTTGGAAGTCAGGTGAGTGTACTTGTTTGGCAAGAACAAAAGAACACACACCCTCCAGAATGGCTCAACTTCTGTAGCCAGGGAGATAAAGGGATGATGGAGCCATTTTACAAAGTGGAGATTCCCTCTTTTAGCTGCCTGGGATAAAGAGCCACTTTAAAATGCATATGGCAAGGAGCGCCTGGGTGGCTCAGTCGGTTAAGCGCCCGACTTTGGCTAAGGTCGTGATCTCACAGCTTGTAAGTTGGAGCCCCACATTGGGCTCTGTGCTGACAGCTCGGGGCCTGGAGCCTGCTTTGGATTCTGTGTCTGCCTCTGTCTGTGCCCCTTCCCCGCTTGTGCTATGTTTCTCTCTCTCTCTCTCTCTCTCTCTCTCTCTCTCTCTCTCTCTCTCTCAAAAATAAATAAACATTTAAAAAAATTAAAAAAAAACCTCTTTATAAATTGGATATGGAACGAAGACATAGGCAGGCTGTCTGGAAGGGGGACCTTGATTTGGAAGAGGATAATCAACCTGATTGTACTTTAAATGACCCATTCCTCTTTACATTTAACACCAATGTCCTGACTATTGTCAATTTACCATTCTTTTTTAGTGCCTCACTTGTAGTAAAGGTCAGCAAGGGTTTATGGAAAGAAAAACTAGACAGTTAAAGCAATACTCTGTAAAAGAGGGGAAAGAATTTTATGTCAAAGAACTAGAACATTTAAGGAGGCTTTGTGGGTAGGAGAGAGTTCAAAAACTCTCCTACCAAGAGAGACGAAGACACTGGCTTGTATCCAAGGTTGAGGTCACAGCCATCTGCAGTGCATTAATTTTCTGGCTGCTTTGTTTGATAATAGCTGCTTTTGGAGACCTGACATCTCCTCTCACTTGAAATTTCTGCATATAAAGCATTTTCCTTTATGAACAAATAGACAGTAGCTTAAAGTACGTGACTCTGCATTTTGTTTAATATATTTTTCTGAGGAGTGGTAAATAGCAGTCAAGATTCAATATCAGTACTGGCTCTTCCATGCACATTCTCATTTTGTTTTTTTCATTAAAATTCAGACAATGAAATGCATGGGAAATACTGACACCCAGGAGCATGAAGACTTGGGCCGGTGTCGTGTTTTAGGGTGCCTCGGCTTACTCTGCACATTAAGTTTGCACCTCTGGTTAACATCTAACCATGGCCTGGTGAATAGCCTTAACTCTGGAGCACTGGCTGTGAAAGATAAGCTTTATTCTTAATCCTAGCTTTTTACGCTTTAATATCTGGGGACTGAGTGTGCTTCTGCCGGAGCGTTTCCTTGGGAAGTAAGAAGGTTGCCTTACTAGGTATGATCCTCTGATAGGGAACACGACTGTGGAGTCCGCAGGGCCTCAGGTCTTGTAGGGGGTAGGGGGGAAAGAAACAAATACTTCAGGGCTTTTGTGAAAAAGACTGAATTTTGGTTCATGGGTTTCATTTCCTCTGGAACTACTTCCTTTCCTTTGTATTTTAACTCACACCGAATGTTCTCCAGTAATACGAATGGCTTTACTATCAGTTTGACAGAAAGCGCCATTCGTGAATACTGCAGGATAGTCATCATACGGCAGGGAGAGAGAGAGAGAGAT